TGATTAAATGTTCAAAGATACACAGTGTGAACCATGAAAAACAAATGGAAGATAGCCACTGCAAGAAATTTTCAACAAATATATATGGATTTGTTCACTTCATTTCTTACTTTCGACACAAGTAATTATGGTAATTATAATTACAAACACAATGTACTGTCATTTATACTGTCATTTAAAGACTTTATATGTGATCCATGTATATATGTTAATGTAATATAATATAAAAAATAATGTGTTTATTGTTAAAATATGGGATATATAATACCGTAAACCTCTGACTAAGCCCTGGGCTTATATTCTTTTAAGTGATTTTTGATGGGCGTAGGGGGGGGGGCTTATATGCACGGGGGCCTTATACATGGACGATCAATTGTGTTAGTAATAAACAAGTCAGTCATAAACAGGAAAATAAACATGTATTAATAACACACTCCATTAACATAGTATTAAGCTATAAAGACAATGACATGAGTGTTTCAAATATCGTTCTCTGCTATATTAAAAGACAATGTCAATGTTAAATAACATAGTGGGATACTGGGCTTATATTCAGGGGGCTTATATTCAGGGGACTTATATTCAGGGGAGCTTATATTTTTTTTTTGGGGGGGGCTATATTTGGAATGAGGTGAGCATTATATTCAGAGGTTTACAGTATACAGTTCAAAAAAGCTTGTATTTTCTTGTCACAGACACACATTTCTGGGTGCATATAGAACAGCTTATACGTCAGGTTCAATGGTAATTTGATATCGCTGCATCACCATAATATAGTGTAGCACAGAATGGCCTTGTATTTAACATCATGCATGCGAAATGCCTTGGTCATTCATGTGGAGATATTACTATCACGATAGAATTAGTTACGCCAAGTAACACGTCGTACACGTCAGGTAGCAGCTGAAATATTTTAATATTTGCCATAATAAGCCCATAACCTGTTGGCAAAACAACCAAAACATCTTCACCATTTTACATTATGGCCGAGATACATTTGAATGTCTCGTCTTTTAACGAATATTCAAGCCCTCTTTTCGCTAGAACAACTTTCATAGTTCTTTCAGTATTTGCCATTGAATATAATTTAATAGTAGTACGATTTAAAGCACCTTTAAACGTATAAAAACCCATTTTGTATACTATATTCTGATGAGAATCTTTGTTTAAAACAATATGATTGTGAACGTGTGCCCGCGCGAATTTAGCAAGCGGAATAAACAAAAGCAATAAAAGCGCATGCGCCATTTATCTCATTTTGGATAAAAAAAATTCGATTTCCCCAGAGTCATGCCACAACCTAACCCGCGAACAGGCATACTCTGGGAACGAGATTGGGCATGACTCTGGAGAAACGGAATGAAATTATCAATTTCATTGGCTGGCGTGAGATCAATAACACCGATACCGGAAATTGGTGTTCAAGTGCGGGAATTACACGTGGAAATTCACGAATACGACGTAAACAAAGTCGAAATTGCATTTATTTGCAAGATTTCAAATACAAGTTAATTGTTACATTTAATCTGATTGAGGATTTATACGTACGATCTGTACACTTTTGTATCTTGTATTATGGCAAATACTTTTTGTTTGTTTATATATAAATTACCGATATGATGTAACAAAATATTTACTTCAATTCAATTGCGCTAGTGATCGCCAGTGTTGGGATTTTAGCTTGTCGTTCTGGACCTGTGTTTGCCGTTTGGACATACGAGCATAGAATTTGTGTGTGGATATAAGACTCTTTTTGAGTATACCATAATATTCATATAACTGTATAA